GAGTGTCGAAGGCAAAAACATTTTAATACAAAATATCGTGGAAGGTCAGACGATTACATGATTAGAGAGCGAGAGGAACTCATTTTGTCATAACACAACAGAATCTGTGCGGTCAGACTGTATACCGACCCTCTGTATACAACGAAAACAGACTTTAGTGAAAAGTGCTTTGTATAAAAATCAGTGGGTGTCCATTTAAAAATAAAAATGTAATAAACAAAAAGTACAAAAACTGAAATACAAAAACTAAAGTCTGACGAAACAACCGAATCTTTCATAAACCACAGAACAAAAATCTATGTGACCGGCGTCGAGTTATAAAATACAGGGTTTTTTTTCAGACAGGATTCTTCCGTACGTCAATCAATGCATTATTTGAGGTCAGTGGTCCGACGTTGAGGCTGGAGCGACGGGACTCTCGGCGAGATTTAACCACGGGGAGGGGCGTCGGCCCGCCCCAGGACCCCAGCCCGGTTTGAACTACGCGGTTAACGGGACCGTCGGGAGCCACTTGAAGCCACAGCTCCTCCATAGCAGCAGGTTCCTCCGTGGGGAGAGAAGAGCGCCTCCACGTGGACGGGAGAGGGGTGTTCACCAGCTCCCGCATTTCCTCTCTGGACCTGGAAGGTTTGTCGGGCTGCCCCGCCCCTCGGCTTCCTGATCCGTCGTCGGGGCAGCGGCTCAGCTTCTCCGTGCTGCCAACGTTTGCGGGTTTACCTTCAGATGGCAGGACTGAAAGACAGCATGTCAGCAGGACAGTTAATGTGATGAAACAGGCTTGAGTCCTCCTGTTCTGAGCCTACTGAACTTTATGATAAACATCAAGAAAGATCTGAGGGCGAAACGGACGATCAACGGAACAGAATGTCACATCTCAGGCCATCTACCAAACTTAAACCAAGGCAAAGCTAAAAAATAATTTTTTTTTGTTGGCCTTTTTTTGACAGGACAGTAGAGAGAGAAACAGGAAAGTGGGGAGAAGAATGGAGGAAGGACCTGCAGCAAAAGGCCATGGGCTGGATTCGAACCCACAACCGCTGCGTCGGGGACTATAGCCCCGTTACACTATAGGCCCAGTACATGGGTCACCAGCTCAGCCAGGTGAGCTATAGCGGCAGCCCAGAGAATAAAGTTTTTAACAAAACAACAAACAAAATACGGTTAGTAGAAGTCCGGCCTATTGCATATTCCTGCATTTGAGTTATTCTGACAACTGTAATTCAGAGCAGCATGAAGAATATAAAGAGTATTACTAAACATCTTTTGAAGAGACACTTGGTGTTTATGTATTGTGGTCATCAAGCCCAGGGTAAACTGAATTGTCGTCATCTTGCTGACAGCTCTAAACACAGTCACGAGCAGGAAAATAAATGCTTAGATCCAACAACACTTGTACCTTTAGGGTGCTCTTTTGGCTGACTGGCCGAACCACAGAACTCCCTCAGTTTGTTGCTTAGTTCAAGATTAGCTGCCTTGTAGTGGTTGAGCTCCATGCTGAGGTTATGGATCCATCCCTCGTACTGCCGCTGCCTTCCTGCCAGGCCCTCATCCATTTGTTCTGTGAGGACAGCAGGACACACACATGGGTATGTAATTACTATAAATAATAATGAAAACAAACAGATCTAAATACATTCTGGCATTACAGCTGCTTTAATACAACTTCCTGTAAACCTAGAATATGAGCAGTGTCAACACATGAGGGAGGAACTGATAACATGTTGTGACTGGTGACCTTCTTTTTAGCATGAGATAATATGTTGACCTTTGTAAGACGGTCCATTATTACCTCGACACTGCTGCAGCAAGAGCTGCACGCTCCTCTCATGTTCCTTCTGCTGTTGCGTGAGGCGGCGATCTGTGTCGAGTTGTGTGCGATCGAGGGCATTTTCCAACCACTGCACCAGCCTCTGCTGCTCATCCAGTTGCATCTCCAGCTCAGCCAGGGCAAGCTGCAGCTTCCGCTCCTCCTCACGTAGAGACACCACCTACAGGACACGATCACACAAACACTGTTCAGCAGACATACTGGTGAGTTCAGAGTGTTGTGTAGTCTGACACTGCTCACTTGTCTAATGAAAGAGTCCAAGCATTGCTATTACCGCTGAGAACTGTGTTTATTGCTCAGTGACACAAGTTAAAACATGTTTAAAGAAAAAAGAAGAAGTAAAATGTCATGTCGAGGACCTTGTCGAAGTACTTGCACAGCAGAGCTCTGGTCTCCGACGCAGACAGGTAGCTGAGTTTGGCCATGAGGTTCATCTCCCACTGGGACAGCATGCTGGCAGAAGCCCTCAGCTGTCTCTGTCTTTGAGTGATGGCCTCATTCTTGTACTCAATAGCTGCATCCAGAGCCTCGATTGCTTCGTCCAACTGGAAAAGGGTTCTCTCCTCCTGGTAACATCAGAGAGAACAGATGGGCTTCGTGAGCAACACACAGCTATTGCTGCATTTTCCAGTGAGAACTAATCAGTACTTGCCACATTCTAGTTCCTGCAATTGCTATGTGCGTACTTGTTATTGCATCTCCTGAACAGCTAAATCTGGCTAAAGACTGAATGATATCAGGGTGCTTCAGCCCAGAGGAACGTCTGACCTCAGGTGAGAGCAGGTTGCCCTGCCGCAGCTTGTCATCCAGCTCAACTCGCTGTTTAAGCAGTGAGTCTTTCTCCTGACGTAGGTTGTTGATCTCTTGGCGGATCTGCTGCGAGTCTTGAGCGCTGCTGCTGCGAAGGAGGCCGTTCCTCTCACTCAGCTCTCGCTCAAGTGTCTCGATGCGCCCAGTAAGCGTCACCAGATCTTTACTTAGGGCCTGGAGGAAAGAAAGAATAAAAAAAATTAAAATATTCAACATTTGCAAATGTGCTACGTCAGTGAACTGAGATGTTGGTATTTGTTAGTACCTGACTGGAGCGGAGCCGCTTGGTCTCCAGTCCACTGCGTTCCTGCAGCAAAGCCTCTTTCTTGGCGAGGATTTCCTCTCGTTTAGTCAGCTCTCCTTCCAGATCTTCCAGTCCTCTCCTCTGTTCTAGTACCCGCTCCATTTCCTCATCCAGCCAACGCTTCTGTTCCTCAATCTTCTGCTCACAGGCAAAAGCACACAGAAAAATCAAACAAGACACACATCAACAGAATGTAGCAGTCAGGATAGAGTGTTACGATATCACTAGGCTAAAAAATTTACTATTTCTAGTCTACAGTAGACAGTTACAACCAACATAATTCTGCACCTCCACAGCTCAAGTTACAAGCTTTTAAATTCTAACTAAAACACTGATGCTACGTATACAATTCATAAATCAATCCAGACAAGTTCTCATCACACCTGCTGCTCCTCTAATGAGATGACCGAGCCGTTGCTGCCGCTGCGTCTCTGCCTCTGGAAGGCTGCGATCTCCTCCGTTTTGATTCTCAGGATTTTCTGCTGCTGCTCGTTCTTTATCTCGAGCTCCTGAGAAGATAAAGGTCAGTTACAGGACAACGGCAGAAGAAAATGGCCTATTTCAAGAGTAAATAAATAGGTGCTGAATGCAATTAAGTCATGTCTGTTCTTTCACCGCTGAAATATTTCCATTTAAATTAACTGACACATTATTCTAAAGAAGGCAGATTCTTTACTAAACCTGCAACATGAAGCGTGACATTCATTCATGCTGATTGCAGTGATGTTGAACAGGTTACATTCATCCATTTTCTACCCATCGCTTTACCCTCTGTAGGGTCACTGGAGCCTATAACGCTGTCGTCACTCTGCAGTACCTTGACTCTGTGAGTTCTTCGTTGCATTTCGGTCTCCAGACGTCGTTTCTGCTGACTTTCCTGACGCAGACGCTTTTGCAGCTGCTCCTGCTGCTGTCTCATCGACTGGACGCTTCGTTCCAGCTCTAACACGCGACGCTCACTCTGGACCGGGAGGTTGGCGAGGCGAGCGGTATCCCTCTGCCGCTGACTTAGTACCTGATATACATCCAGACACAGTTTCCCATTCATTCAATCTGAAAGGTCTCGTGTTTAACAACAAAAAAATCAATTATGTATCAGAAAACGATCATCCAGCAAGAATCAAAAAAGCATCTTAGCTGCATAAAAAACATTCTTCCAGATGCCACACAGTTAAGTCTCGATTTGAGAGTTGAGATGTTTGAAAGTCGAACCTGAACTTTGCTCTGAGCAGCAGCTATCTTCCTGCGACATTCCTGCGCTCTCGTCTTGTCTGTTGCGCTGATCTCTCTTTCTTGTCTCTCCAGATCCTGCAGCTGCCGTTGGGCCTCCTGCAGCTCCTGTCGCGCCTGCACAGCTTCGCTCTCCAGAGCTGTGATCTTATGGCTGTACTGCTTGTTGAGGGCCTGAGCATCCTTACCTTTAAAACAAAAAACACAAACAGTTGATTTACAAAACAACTGAGAAAACATCTGTTTCAGAAAGATGCAAGTAAGGAGAGGTGATAAGAGTAAAACGGCTACCAGTTTTGACCAGCTCCTTGATGAGTTCTTCTTTCATGCGGATGGTGACAGACAGCTCCCTGATCTTCTGCTGTGCCTGAAGAAGTCCCCACTCTGTAACACCCTCGAAACTTTTCAGGCTCTCTCCTGTACTGGAGTTGGCTACATGGAAATATGAGAGAGTGGACAAGAAATCAGTGGGGCGGCACAATAGTGAAGGGAACAAAGCTGCAATGCAACAGCCCCCCACATTCACACCAGCCTCAGGTATCCACAGAGATCCCTGTTTGACTTGTAACCCTCCACCTAACTGGTGGCAATAAGCCTCTAATAGAGACGAAAACTAGGCAATGAAAGCTTATAATGCAGATCTTGAGAGAGCCTGAGGTTACATCTGATCACAGAGACGACACGACACAATGCAAAAGTAAACAACGCTGCCACCCCATGTGAAGGCTGGTTAATCTAATTCACTTAAAAACCTGGAAATGGACTCTCCACAAGCAAACAGTTCAACGCAGGAGGATTAACTTCTATTACTAAAATGCAAGCGGTTGCATCTTTCTCCAAAACTGAAAGAAGCTTGAATATTTCCGACTGTGTAACTTAGCACATAAACGACACATTGGATTTGTACAAACAGATAACGGTGAGATTGGTAGATGAGGGGAATATTTAATCAATGATAATGATTCATATAGTCTGGTCATACAAACAACAGATTTGACTTGACGTCCCATCAGTGCATCATTAAATCAACTTTCAACCTCCCAGGACACCTCGTTAGCGAGCCACTTGCTGGACTTACATGCTTTTCTGGCTAAACAGGGGTGTTGGTCTGGTTCAGGGAGCTGAGATGTTGGCCCTCTGCCACCAGCTGCCAGTCCTCCTGACAGCATATCCCGCTTGGTCCAGGTGAGGTTCACCTGCCTGACAGAATCATGGGCATTACAGGATGCATACAAGTGCAGTGACGTCGATACTGTCCACAAAGTCTGATCAGTCTGTGATGGAGCAGAATTTATTACATGAACATTCAAATCGTATAAACCAACATACTTGCATCTCTCTTGGCTGACGCTGAAATGACTTCCCTCTCGTTCTCTGTAATGCATTTCTGCTCCTCCTGAGACCTCCTGCTCCTCATGAAGCTTCCCCTCCTGATCAGCACAAGGCCCATTGCCGAGGCAGCCCAATGGACTGACCTGCAATCAAGAAAACACACACACACAGATGAAGCAGGCAATGACGCATACTGTTATACTGTCTCTATAGAAATGTTGAAAGACAAAATAAACTATACAATAAACTATAAAATAAACTACACTCTTTTGTGCATCTTTACAGAGATTTTTTCTGTTTCTTGTCTGTAAAAGTGGTTCAGCTGGTTGGTTACCTGTCTGTATGTGCCTCCATTCTGACTGTGCTGCATGGAGCCCATGGGGGCGGTGTGCGGCCGCAACCTCAGGTTCAGGCCCAGGCCCATCAGCCCTGAAGCAGACAGCTGACACTGTAGGTCTGCTATCAGGTCCTGCTGCTCCTGCAGCTTATCACTCTGAGACGGAAGGAAAACAAATCAGTAGCATATCATCAGAGGGAACATGTGATACAGCCTGGGATCAAATTCAGTGTTTTCTTTAGAATTGTTTTTCAGCAACAGGGGTGAAAGTGTTTTATTGCATCTTGTATTATTGGTCAGTCTTCATACAATATTACACTGAAACACAATCAAATGCATGATATGGTTTAAAGGTGATGGGTGGAGCCGTATCTTGTCTATCCTTATAGGCACCCAGCCTGACAGCCTCTCCTCTCCTCTCCTCTCCTCTCCTCTCCTCTCCTGCATCACTCTACGGCTCCAGCTGTCTACTTGTTTAGGAAGGTTCATTTCAAAATGAGCAACTTTGGATACGAGCATGTAGTTTGGATTATGAAACATATCTTTTGTGACACCAGTCCTGGAACATTTCTGACACACCTTGTAAACATCATTGGCAATTATTTTACAGATGTGTGTAGTTTTTATTTTTAATTTTTTTCTATTTTAATTGCTTTATTAGACAGGAATTGGAAAAAGAAATATAGAATAGATAATATAAGAGAAAGAGCAGGGGAGTGACGGTCAGGCTGCAGCACTGTGTCCACGACAAGTTTCCAAGGTCAGGAATCAAACCGGGGAATCACTGCTCGATGTGCGTCATGTGTCCTAACCACTTGGCAACCTAGTCACACATATCTCACTGATGTTTAATGATCAAATGGCAGCCAGACGGTGTTATGCTTGACTGAGTTTGCAGATATTAATGCAGCAAGTTGGATCTAAATCTTTTCTCTTTTTTCTCTTCTTTCACTCGCGCTCAGTTCTGCTTTATGTCGCCACACTTCCAACATCCGCCATTTTTAATTAGCTGCATTCTGCACAGTCATGTAACTTTATTCCATTTCATATAATATTAAAGCAACAGCGGCAATAATTTAGCAGTGGTGGCAAATATACAGAACAAACATTAAGGTTGCAGATCAGTGCTGTTATACAGATGACCACAAATCATTGTTGCGTTGGAGAAAAACACATTAGAAACAAAATGCGTCCAACCTGCTGCTTGTATTGCTCCATAGCGTCCTCCAGAGCTGCTAAAAAGTCTGTGTTCTCCCTCTCCAACCGCTGGATCTGTGACTGAAGATGTGCAATGCCATCTTCTTTCTCTCCATCTTTGTCACTCTCGTGTTCGTGGCTCCACCTCTCCTCCACAGTTTCTGCATCCTGGGCGATAAGTCATAGTTACAAGCACATCAGCACCGAATCCTTTAACTATTATCACTGAATTTGACGAACACAGTCTTTATCATTCACAGACATATCGTACCTGGTTCCTTACAGAAGGCCTCCCTCTCCTCAGCGCTAGACTGTCCTCAGTGGAGCTGTTCTCGATGCCGCTGTCCGGCCCTGAAGCAGTGGTCAGCCCACTTCGTTCCTCCTCCACCGAGCACAGCCACTCCTTCACCCTCAGACTCTGTTCTGCGGTCAGAGCGCCTTCACTCTGCAGCTCCCGGAGCAACCTGTGACACATCAGCAACACTGACATGTAAGGAGCAAACACTAAACGCTCATTAAAACCTACAAAAATGAAGCCATCGAAAGCTCTCTCACTTTCAGAAGAGCACAGACCGACACATCACCGGCCCTAGCAGTGTGTGGTTGAAGAAATCTACAGCTTTATATGCATCAGTCCCAATCAGCTCCTTAGTGGTTCAAAAACTATGAAGCTCGGCAGCATTTTATTGGAGCCAACGTGTCTGTATGGAGGTATGGAGTCACAGATTTACTCACAATAAATTCCATTTAGGTTTTAAGCAGCTGTTGAATGACAGCAGAGCTGCTACATAAGGCTTTGGCAGTAAATTCTTTATTGCTTTTGGCCTCTTAATGGACAAAAATAATTAAAATAAAACCCTGCACTGTTCTGTAATCTGTGTTTAATTCCTGGGGTTGACTCACTTTGCCATTTAAGTGTATGGTAATGATGGCTACACTTAAATATCAAACATTTTGTTTCTATATACAGTCAGATGTATTCATCCCCTTCCATTAAAGAAAAGGCAAAATTTACAACAGTCACTCAAATAACTAGAAACTGAAAAAGTAATAATAAATAAAAATTTGCTAAATTATAATTTAGTGAAATAAGACGTTGTTTTTGAATTGTGGTTGAAAAGAATAATTAAAAAAACAAAACTGTCCCGTACACATTAGAGCACTTTGCTGATGAGCAGTGAAATCCAAACACCTGTCAACAGGTGCAGAAGTCTGACTGAGAGTTACAGAAAACACCTGATGGCAGTGATTGGCTCAAAATATTAGTTTACGGGTCTCATCATGCTTTTCTTTTTTTATTTTTTTTATTTTAATATTTCTGTTGAACCACAATTCAAAAGCAATGTCATGTTTTTCTTTTTTTTTTTTTAAATTTATTATCACTTTTGTCAATTTCAACTTATTTCAGAGACAGCTGTTTTTTTCCTCCTTTCATAGGAGGGTATGAATACATTTGAGGACGACTGTATGTACAGAAGTTGCACTGACTCGTAAAATATACCTGAGCATTAATTTAAAAACATCAACATTTGACGCGTCTGTGAAGATTCTCAGTCGTCCAGGTCGTGGTTATTCTTGTAGATTAATCGTATGACTTGCTTGAGTTCCTTGAAGACGTTCCACCTTTCATCCAAGATTCTTCATCAGTTCTGACTGACTAGTTGGGACTTCCAGATACTTATATCCTAAAGAAACTGAAACTCAGGTGTGGCTCCTTAAGGATATAAGTATCTAGAACTCCCAACTAGTCAGTCAGAACTGATGAAGTCTCTTGGATGAGAGGTGGAACGTCTTCGATTAATCTACGAGAACATATGACTGAATGGTTGAGATAATGTAGCCTCTACAACAACTAAGACATCCAGAACTCTTGGAAAGTGTTTTATGTGAACGAGCAGTTCAGCAGGATGTTGCACCCTCAGAGACGTGGGTTAATAAATGTGCTTTAACCTGTACGCAGTGTCTGTGCAAGTCCTGTAGTGAGCGCTCTGAGCCTGCAGTCTGCTGATCTCGCCCTCCCCGAGTCGAGGCCTCCTGTTTGGATCGGCGTGAGCGATGATGCGGGTCTCTGACCGCTGGCGGTTTTCGAGGGCTCTGCGAAGGGCCTTGATTTGCTGCTCAAGCCCTTCCACGCGATCCGGCTCGCGCTTGCAGTTGACCGTGGCCCGATTCTGAATGTTTCTGGCTCTCGTGGCATAGTTTAGCGTATTCAGACTCTCATCGAAGTCTGAGGAAGACGGGCTGATGCAGGCAATCATCAGCGTTTTTGAATTTCCTCCCAAAGAGTCTTTAAGTATCCTGGTTGAAACAGGGATGATAAATATTAAACCCAACTGATAGTATAAAGCAATACTTGGTTAGATAATGTGCTGAAGTGCTGGTTAACGCATTTACATTTACCTTGTGATTTTAGAGTCCCTGTATGGTATGTGAGAGCCTTTCCTCTTGGGGTCCCCCAGAGCCCCAATAACATTTCCCAGAGCTAGAAGACCACTGTTGATCTGGATACTCTCCTTAAGTCTTTCTCCAGTGTTCCCCGTCCTTAAGATGCGCTCTGACCCTGCCAGGTCCACAAAGTGAAACTTGGAAGACAACATCTGTGGTCCAGAGCTTGTAGCAGTCCCATAAAGACGAGAGCTTCCCCGACGCTGGTCCATGTACACGGTAAAAATGGTGTGTGACCGGCTGGAGTTTGGATTCATCTGAGTCGCCCCGGTGTGCCTGGCTGTGTTTCCCGACTCCAGTAAACTCAAGACCTCGTCAAGGCCCTCCACTTCACACTCCTTCACACCACACAACACTATGGAGTAACACAGACAAAATATAAAGATCAATACATGGAGAAAACGATATTTACTTCACAACAACATAGCTACAAACAAATATGGCTGCCTTTATCCTCCTTACCGATGTTGCCTTTATCCTCCCGGATGTGGATGTCTTTGCTGGCAGTCTCCACCTCCAGGAGGTCCTTGAATTCCTCCTTGTAGACCTCCAGGTAGGACACCCGGACAGAGAAGTCTGTAAGGTCATTTTCATCTAGTAGCTTGAAGACGTCTGCAACAGCTCTGGGGATGATGCCCTGCTCCTCGTCTCTGAAGGAACCTAGAAACACATTATCATTATTATTAACACTAAAAACACATTCCTGGGTTTGGTAGTAAAACGTAATTAAATGATTGTGGATTTTTTGGCAAGTCCAACCGACGTGTACTCTGTTTTTGTCTAAAGCAAAACAACTGGACCTGCTAATAATCTTTGCCGCTGTTTTGAAATGGAAAAAAGTTTCAAAAGCAAAAAATAAATAACTTACAAATATTAGCTTCTCCAATGGTGTAGGTCTTGCCTGAGCCCGTCTGCCCGTAGGCAAAAACAGTAGCATTGAAACCCTGGAAAAAGGCATCGATCAGAGGCTGGACAGACACAGAGTAAACCTCCTCCTGACAGCAAGCTTCTTCAAACACAAAGTCACACAGAAAGTGTCGGTCGTGGCCCAGAGTGACCCGATGGAGCTCGGGGTCCACGGTGATGCAGCTCTCGTGGCAGTGCAGGAGCTCTTTGGGCAGGAGGGGACGCACTCGGACCGCCACCTGCACCGCACAGAAGTCCCCTCTGCCTTGGCCGCCGGGCACTTTGGGAGACATTTCTTTGGCACCGTCACAGCTCCTCAGCGCTCTGCTGTTCTGTATCGATCATCATCTGAAGAGAACAGAAATCGTGTCATTAAAGAGGTTTTCAGCATGTTATGCCGCATGGCTGAAGGAATTCATAAAGTGAAGCCATGATGTGTAGGAAACGAAGCAGCTCAAGCTCAGATTTATTTCTAAATTTCACCTACAGTAAGAGTGATGTGAATAAAATCCTCTATCACTAAATGATTACTCTTATAAGCAGACATCAATATAATGCAATGCAGTAGAAAATCACACGAGACACCATATCATAGAAAAATGACAAATTCATACGGTTCCATAGCGTGACTGCATGCGATCATCATCAACCGGCCTCCAGCTACAACATACACAGCTTGGCCGTGTCTCTCTCAGTTAGACCAGCTTATAATTCAAAGATCTTCTGCATTTATATTTAAAGACAAGACAAGCTGCCTTCATGCTCCTTTTTCTTTTTGACAGCTGATAGTCACGGTGCTGTTAAAGAACGACAACAATAGCAGAGAAAAGCTGTCCAGAAGCAGGCGTGGGAGTATTTTTCATGCTCATATTTTGTCCGTGCACACTAACAATCCTTGGAACAACTCTATTATAAAAAAACCTTGCAACGA